TGAATCCAACTCACAGTGATAACATCTTGGTCATATTTTTTAGTTGGTTTAGAATAGTGTCACATCAACAGTAACATATGTGTACTCTTCTGATGAGATACATATTATATCTACAGTTTCTTTGTATCTGTTAAACTACTTACTCAGTTAAAGGAGAAAATAAGATTATTTTGCTAGGGAATATTCTTGAGAAATTTATGTTGCCTGTTCTCTTTTAACAATTTCTTAGGCACTTAAAGAAATAGTTTGCGTAATATTTGCCCAATATCATATATACCATTTCAGGCTTTCTTTGAACAGTTCACATTAATAACTTCTCTTCTATTTCCTCCCCAAACCAGTAGCTAGTCAGTCAGATATTGCCCCTGATATTTACTGAAGTCCTTGAAATAATGATTTCCAAACCTAGTTTTCTTATTGCCACCATCAGGCTGACACTGTCCTGATTCTATGACAATCTGAAGGCAGCATCCACATCCAACTATGAAGAGCCACAAGAACTGCAATTTGGCAACCCTTTTTCTAGACTGAATTTCATAGAAACCCTGTTGATTTGAATCGACTTATCTAGTCCTTTATACTTTTCTGTCTGTCCTTGCTTGTTTAATAGCAGTAGTAATAATCTTAGTGTCCTTATTTATCCATACTGGTTACTCTGGAAGTACTTGAGAGCCAGCTAGTGATTCAGAAGAGAAACCAGCAAATTTTCCTCTACTCCCATATGATAAATCCAATTTCCCAACCTTCCAGCTCTCTGGATTTATTTTGCTGAAACTGAACCATCATATCATTGCACAAACCCTATATATTTAATCTGAGCTCAGATTAGCTGCACTGCATGTTTGTTTGTTTGTTTTTCTTCTGCAGCTAGCTTTATTCCTAAAGTGCCATTAAATCAGAAATGTCTGTCACCATAAGACCAATGGCCAGAGAGATGCTAACAGATAATCAGTGAAAAGTCGGTCTCAGCTCAGTTCTCATTTAATTCGTTCAACAACTCACTTACTGAGAAAGAAAGTATCAGCAGCTAGGTAATCTTGAAAAACAACTCATTCTGGTTGAAAGTCTCCTTGACTTCATGTATCACCAGAAAATAAGCCATGAAACATCAAGTAAGGGAATAGAGAAGCTACCTTTATGCAGTGCAAGCCAGGCAGCTTCGCCAGTTTGCCAAAATGCAACTTCCATTCCTCCAGAAGCAAACTTTCTTCTTCATTTCTTTGGGTGTTCAGAGAGTCATGGTAGGAAGATGTCTGGGTGAAGTTTGGCTTGCAAAAGAGAGTAAACCATAGAGAGAAAAAAATACAATGTATTGAGCTTATAATCGGGGAAAGTATTCATGGCCCTAAACACCACCACACAACACTTATTCCATATTTATTCAGGAGCAGTGATGAGAGGTAGGCATTCTAGTAGAAAATCTAACATCAAAAAAACCTTTTAATGCTGGAATATATAACGGAAAACCAAAGAAACCTGTATAACCAATACCACTTAAGCAAAGCAATAAATACCAACATCATCTTACATTATATAGAACTTTTCATCACTTTTATGAAAAGCTTTAAATACAACCACCTCCATTCCTACTTAACTGCATGGAAAAAAGTATTCAAACTGCACAACAGTTTAATACTGGTAGTGAGGAAAAATACTCTTTCTACTGAAACGGCCGAAGAAATTTGAAAATGTAAAATGCAGCTGCTAAAACTTATATGGGTCAGGGCATTAGAAAGTGTTATTATTAGACTCCATATGTTAAAAGAAAAAAAAAAATCTGTGTTTTTAACCTCTGTTATGAAAGATATACTTTCTTTATAACACACTCTGGTAAAAAGGTACCAGTTCATTGCTTTTGACCATCCTGAGGAGCACCTCTTGCTAATTCAAACTAAATCTATATAAATCCCAGTTTCTATATCAGGAAACATTGTGGTATCTTTTTCAAGTCCTGGAAACCATTAAGGCAGCATTTCAAGTATATTTGGGATCTACAGATCGTTTTAAAGCTATCTGCCTAGCACAGCGGGAACCATTTTTACAACTAGCTTTATTGCCTAGCAATAATCACTGAGCTCCTGAAAAAAGAATAGCCTTACCAGCATGCAAAGACTTAGTCCTTTTGCTCAGGAGGAAACTGTAATGCTTTCAGTTTCTGTTTCATAGACTTGAAATTTCTTTTTCTTTTAATCTTTGTTCTTTTGCACTTTCTGGAGCCCTGGGAAATTGTTAGCATTATTGATAAAATTGTTCCCTGTTGCACCTGCTTGTTTGCATCTGCTCAAGAATCTCTGCAGTGTATAAAAAAGATAGCTTTAACAGTATAGTGTTGTAACAGTAATAATATAACATGTAAGTACATAAGTATAGTACAGAGATAGATGGTAATTAGTAGTAGTACAGATATCAGAGTTTAATCTGGAAAGATTAAGTTTATAAGATTCAGAAAAGGTTTTAAATGATCAAGAAAATTACATATTTGCTTTGCCTATGTGTTGAGCAGTATTGATCCAAATAGATCTCACTAAATAGTGGTTAATTTCTAATGAAGTTTGGCATAAAACTTTGGATCTTAAACCATTACACTACTGGAAACAAAGCATGCATCAAAGGCCGGTATACCAAAGCACTTCCTAGGGCTGTGTTAGACTAAGTTTATGAGAAGACAGCACTTAAAGAGCTAGCTGATATATAAATACAGTACCTAGACACTAGAGAAAGTTGTAATTAACAGAAATTCAGGACTGCGACAAGTATTGATACTGGGAGTGATTTCTGCTGCATTGTCTCAATGAATTGGCAAAAGAAACATTAAAGGATAATTAAACTTTTTTAAAGCCTTTAAGTAATCAGAAGTGAAAGAGAAAAACATGAATCAAATCAAACAAGATATTATAAAGTTGCAGATATTTTCACACAGCATTCATAGTTCAGGTAAAGTGCATAGTCATAAGGTAGTATCAGGCTATCTGCAAAACTACACAAAGCCATGTAAAATAGATGCAAATTGGGAAATTAGGCACAGAAAACCAAAATTGCATTATCTCTTAGGAGTAGGAACCAGTGATGCCACTAAAAAGAACTGACAGTCACTGTATCTAGGTAGCCATGTGTTTGGTTGTCCCTTTCTTCCCAGAGAAGCTTTTGAAGGTTTTGCAGTGCCATGTCCCAGATGGTCTTGCACAGTTGATTTGTCCAGAAATCTCACAGTGTGTTTCCTTACAGTCTGACAGTACCAAGAACCTCCTTTGGCTGCTCTGACCCCACAGGAAGCCTGTTCACAAATCCCGCTCCTAACATATCTTAATACCTCACATTAACTGAAGTTCAGAGAAGCTACCAGGCATTCAAAGCTTAATCTTGTTTGGCAGGAGATCTCCTGGTTATTTTCTATCTAATGTGACTAATTAACAATGGAGAAAGACACAGAAGTGGAGAGAGAGGTAGACATCTTGTAATGTGCCACTCAACAGCCTCCTCCCTTTATGCATTCTCCCTCTAGGGGTAGCGATATCTGTGATCATTACAAAACCATTAAGCAACATGATAGGTTTGAACTCAGCTCAAAGAGAAACAACTACATGTATAGGAGATGTACTGGAACTTCCTACTTTCCTTTTAAGTCAGAATATCTTTATAATTATTGTGCCCAGAGTAATTCAGTCAAACTCAGCCTGAAATGTCTTTTCAGCAGATTTCTTTGGAAGCATCCTGTCAGAAAAATGGAAATTCTATTTCTGATTAGGTGCCCTACAGAGATTACTTTTCATGTAATCGGTGGTGTCTTTACTTCAGGGCAAAAAAAGGCCCCCTGAATTAGCCTTTTTTCTTTTTGACAGGTAGTTTATCCTTCTGAAGATAAATGTGCAGTCATGTTTTGTTTTGTTTTTTTCTACCAGTATTTTCACTAGCATCAGTATGAGATACTCTGCTTTAACAGCAATGAGCATGATTTGACCTAAAATAGATTGATAAGCTACCATGGAGACAGAGTTCATTTCTAACTCTTGATAGGTTAATCTCTCTTTAGTAAAAATAAATAAATGATAGCATTTTGACTTTATACTTTCCTTAAGAAAGAAAATGGAAAGACAAACATATTTGAAATGGTGAGTGGGTCACTTCTTTGTTTGAGTTAGTTTTTCATTTCTGCAATGTCTTTACAAAGTGCTAACGTATGTCCCCATTACGGACATATATAAATTTATTTTAAAACATAAATTCAGAAACTATAAATCTGATCCCCACCCAAAACAATAATTCTGGGGAGATTAAAGACTTCATTTAATTAATGTAATTAATTGGATGCTATTAGTGGTTTCAGCATTAATTAAATAAAAGTCTAATAGAAAATATGATTCCTCCTTTTGCACACACACTGGAGTAATTTGTGCTATGGGCCTTTCTCAGATACCTTTCAAGCATAAACATAACTACATGGAAACAAACTGTTTCACAGGCTTTTATATTGTTTAAATGTTTGGAGGTAGCAATTGGGTTTTAGAGTTTCCAGTTTCTTTTCTTTTTTTGTTTTTAGTAGTAGTACACCAGACTTTCATGTAACTAGCACTTGCAACAAACAACTTTGGCTATGGGTTTCTTTTATTTTACTTATGTTCAGTATTTCCGAACAAGATTTCACAAGACCTCATTTTTATATCACTCATCAGTATAAAATTGGTTATTAAAAGATCACTGGAAATAATTTCAGTTCTGACCCTGAGGCCATTCTTTATACACAGAGTATCATTTAAAATGAGGTGAATTATGCCTGTGGTGTTTCCATCCTACATTTTCATTGAGTTGCTCTAATTATTTCAATATGCCACAGGAAGCGTAACGTGTAGCTATGGTGAGGGGGATGGACAGACAGTTTCCCACACATACATTAGTGGAGTAGATTTCTTTAAAGACACCTTGCCACAGATCAAGGCTGATATTAGTAGAAGGAAGAAAAGGTATGTGTAATAGATACTTGATATTTTGCTCTGCCATAACAGGTGACAACTTTAACTCAAGAAGTCTCACAACTAAGTAAGGATATGAAGAACATGATGCACCTTCTGGAGAACCTCCTCACATCCCAGAAGCCTCCAGGGTTCTGTGCTATGCATGGTGTATCTCGAAGTCCTACCCTGGAAAGTCTGCAGTCTCGAATGGCTTGGACTACACACCAACCTTGCACGCACATGCAAGCTGGGAACTTCACTTGCACCAAAGCACAACTTTGCCGCGGCAACACGTTATGTGACATGTGGAATACAGACCTGTCCTCTGTAGGCAGCAGTCCCCAAAGAACTGAACCCAACCTGCAAAATTCTATGGACGGTGAATTTTATTATACAGCAGGCCTTCACAATTCCCCCTCCCAGTATCAGGTAATTCAAAAAGACAATTTGCAATTTTTAAGATGCACCTCTCCCCATTCAGACACTACCTTGACTCCTCTTCAGTCTATTTCAGCAACTCTTTCCTCTTCCGTATGCTCTTCGTCAGAGACATCCTTACACCTTGTGCTCCCCAGCAGATCTGAGGAAGGTAGCTTTAGCCAAGGAGCAATCAGCTCACTAAGCCTTGAGAACCTGCCAGGATCGTGGGACCTGGAAGGAACAGCCGGAGTAGTATCTGCACAGACCCCAGATTTCCCAATAGACATTGTGACAAGCACAAGGGATGTTAAAGATAAAGATTACCAAGCCATAGACGTATAATGAGAAACATTAAAGTGGTACTCGAAGCATGTTTCACAGCTGCCAGTTTTAAATTTAGAGAGTACTGCATGACTGCTTTATTTGACCTTTTCTCTGGTGATCATGGAGACTTACAAACATGAAAATTCAGATTTATAGAAAGTAAGAAAAGGTACTGCCAGTTCATACTATAGGAAAAAAAAAAAATCTAGTTTCTAGAAGCATGTTGAAAAGTATTTTGTACACAGATATAACTTACTGGTCTGTTTGGCAGACTTTTTGTGATAGTCCAAAGACCCTGAGGGTCAGAGCAGCTGGAAGTCTAGGACAAAAGAACTGTCATGGGTGGCTTTTGTTCATCGAAGCAAAGGTTTTCCCTGAGTGTCTAACTGTTGTTCCCAAACAATATCTATGGCACTGTTTGCTTCAGGTGGTCGTGGGTCCTGCCAGTCTGTTTGTCAGTTCTGTGAAGGCAAAGGGACAATTATCGCTGCATGTCATCTAGACAATCAACCAAATAGAGTTGGTAGAGAGTGGTTAGTTTGTTGCACGTCATTTGTCATGTAAATGAAACCTAAAAATTTATCTAAAAATACTATTTTTATATACTTGGTATGAAACATGTACTTAAAATTATTTAAAATATTTATAAGGAGAATAAGAGTTTGCTTTCATTTTGGTAAAAGCTTGCAGTTTTAACAAGAAATGAACTACCATCATGTATTAGATCCAACACTATTTATTGTTAAGATATTACGTAGTTTACAGATGGATACCCTTTTATGTGCATGCAATTTGCAATGAATGTATTCATGCTGGTGGAATACAAATAAATTAAGCTATTATTTTGTTTAAAAAAAAATAAAACAGCTGGAATGATGTATCCTATATTAAGTCAGCTACCACTACTTTAAATGTAAATTCTTATACTGATAACAACAAGTAACCTTGGTTTGTGTCTTAGTATTGAAGTGTTATTGATAAGACCAAGTGAAGATTTTACTATGCAACCCTGGTTTGGGATTTTATATCTGGACAAGAAAATTAAGAGGGATAAAAATAATTGAATAAATTGAGAAATATTAAAGGAGAAAATAACAATGGTTTAATCAGAGAGAAAGAAAAAATTAAAAGCTATTTATTTGATGCTTTTTACTTACATACATAAGAAGTAGCTTTGACCTTTAGCTAAAAAGAAGAAACTATAGGTTTGCAATTATTTTAATCCAGAATGTGATTTAATGCCCAAAGAAAATTTGAAGTTTTTTTCAGTATTTAGTGTATTAGAAACTTATATTGCTAAAGTGCAACCAGAGCTACTGCTTTTCATGTATATATTTAAAGATGCATAGTATGCATCATATTTCCATGCTCTTTAGCAGTCTTTCTGAAAAAAAAATGTTTACAACCCAAAATAAATGTTCTAAAATGGAGAAGTAAATTAAGTTGCATTTAATAATTAATGCAAACTGATGTTTGTTATCAAATTAAAATTTGTACAGAGTACAGATTTATGTTTAACTTCCTTAAGAGGCTGGGTTTTTTTTCTGAAAACTTCAAGGACTAAGCTCATTGTTAATATTTGGTTCTTCATGGGGCCACAAATCCCAGCTGATATTCTTTGCCCAACTTACATCCTTTCACATCCTTTTTCCCACCGGTACAAATTAAGGACAGAGTGTCAGCTCTCCTTTTGAGCTGCCTGAATTTTGTCAGTGTGTCTACAGTTCAATGTGAGTGTTTATATATAGAATCTCTTATTTCCTCTCTATTCCAGTTTTTACTTAATTTAAGGTTAAATAGAGAAGTGCTGATTAAATAAGGCATATCCTAGAAATGAGAAAGTGAATAGAAAAATACAGGTCTATGGTATTTCTGCGAACAGTCCTGGCTTCTCTTTAGCAACCTGCCATTGACTCCGATGCAGCGCAGGGCAGGAGGATGGGGCTGGGGGAGGTTGTTTGCCCCCTCACCAGGGCAAGCGCACACTGACAGAGCCCCACTTGCCAGAGGTGAGGAGCTGCATACTTGGGGGAGAAGGGATGAGGTCTCAGCAGAGCAGCCAGCAGCTCAGTGGCAATCCGGCACCGCCCCACATCAGCAGCCGGCCAGTGCACTATACAGCCATAGCCCTCACCTGTCCTCACCATGGAGCGCAGATGCTGGTTCCTTGGGATGCACAGGCACGCGCAGCGCTGCTGTCTGCAAATCCTGATTCTTCACTGTCACCTTCTTCATGCCATGCAAGGTAACCTGCCCTCAAACTATTGCATTAATGAAATACACAGAGTAATCTAAGCTCATTGTACCCTGGCCACTAACTGAGGCTGCATAAACATACTGTTTGTCTACCATGTTAGTTCCCAATATAATTTAATAATTTCCATTACATATGTAAATTGGGAGCAGTGTTTGTTTTCTCATTTTATAAGCAATACATGAACCATTATATATAGGCTTTAAAGTTTTGGCATTGGTGTGGTTTTTGTTTGGGTTTTGTTTGTTTGTTTTTGTTTCGGGTTTGGTTTTTGTTTTGGGTTTTTTTTTGGGGTGGGGTGTGGGGAGCAGTTTCCCCAGCATAAATGCTGATGTTGTGAAATTAGAATTGGATGGTTTGTTCTGGAGCTTTTGTGTTAATTTTATATAAAGTGTAAAAAGGTCAGTGGAAACAAAAAGCCACAACTTTGCAGCTGTATATTAAATTCTAGAATAAAAAATGCATATGTGGTAATTGAGAAGAAATAGCACCAGGATATCTGTCCTAAGTAGTTCCTTGATTCTGCAAGTGTCAGATACATCCTACAGGAAGTTGGCAAACACTCTGCCATTTGTATTGACTGTAGGTTCCAAGATCATTCATAGCCATTACCTGGATTGCAGGGAGTCTGTGAAATGGGCATCACCGAGATGAGTGTAAAAGGCTCAGGGGAAAAGCTCAAGGGACTTAGGCCAAGAGTTCATTCCAGTCCAAAAGCAAGTAAAGAAAGAAGAATGTCAGCAAAAGAGAAATCTGGATTTGAAAGGCAGTTCTATTTTAAACTCCCTGACACCATTATATTAGGAAAGGCTCAGGAAAATAATAGCCCAAGCAGCTTTTGCTGGAAAATATCTGGTGACCAATGCAACAAATTTAAGGTTTGAAGGAAAAATGTCATTACACAGTGGGGCCATAGAGGATTTCTGAGTTTAAAGGAACAGCCAGTGTACTATTCAAGTGCACCCCCAAAAGGTGCTCACTATGAACATCAGTGCAAGCAACCCACACTCTTAATATCCAGCTGCCCAGCTCACACAATTTACTAAATTCTGTTTTGCACTAAGATTTACAAAAATAAAATTTATTTTTGTCTCAGGATTGTGCTTTACTTTCTAAACTTGCTATGTTTTCTTCCTTTTTTACATTTTCCATCAGTGTTGGTTTCTTATTCTGTACAGTAACTGTTGTCCCTTTCTATTTATTTATTTTCCCTCACCTGTTCTCTTTTCTATCCCCTTTATAACACCAAGCTCAATCATATCTTCTCTCATTTCCCAGTCATTTCTTTATAAAGAAACATGCAATTATTCCACTAATGAACCAAGTGGTTACTGAACATTGTTATACAGTAGGACAGCAGATTTGGACTATGTCAAGATTCAGGTAGTAAACCACCAGTCTCTAACCAAAATCTCATGCATTTCTCATAATGCTGCAGTTGCCATTACTGACAATGGGAAAAATGGTGTTGAAAAAAGAGACATTGACAACAAACAAACAAAAAAATATTACACACACCAACCTTAGCAGGATTAACCCATGTTAATTTTCTCCTTTTTTCTGCTTTTATACCCTCAGATCTATTTTTAGAGACATGCATTTGTGTTGTACTCATGATGATTACTAGATTCAATTTAAGAAACACCGTTTATCACAAATTCTGCAAATACTTGTCTTTTTTTAACAAGTCATACCCAGCTCTTGTGATAACCTTGCTTTGACCCATCTGCTGGTTATCTACCACAAATAATTTACTCTCTAATGAGACCATCTGCTAACTGCACATGAGATTTCAAAGCATTTTATTTTACGAGGCAATCTTGTAACACACTCCGTCAATAGCCTCACCTCATAGCTTGTAAAAACCCTGTGCTTCGCAAATGAAGTTTTGGGGTGAAAAACTTTTCAACCTTTTCTGCATCTTCTTTCCTTAACCTAAAAGCACTTGGTACCAACACCCCTCTCAGTGGGACACACTGCAGATATTTAGTGCTGCTGGGTCTATCACAGAAAGTGAACAGTCACATTCCCATCTCCTAGAAAAACACTTCTAACAACTTACTTCAGCATTAAAAGAATGAGGCTATAGCTGGGAATTTGGGCAGCAATGAAGCAAGAGATGAGAAAAGGGAAAAGGGTGGTATATGGTTTCTTGGCTTAATACCCGCAATCAGTACAGGGAGTTGGGCCATCAGTCACTAACTCCAGCAGCCTATGTGGTACCTAGTCTTCATTTAGAAAATCAGACAACCTGTCAAAAGAAGCCTAAGCCCAACTCCCTCAGTATCTACAAATCATCAAAATAGTCAAAACCTATTAAGAAAAAAGCATAGCTGCATGTTTGGTAGTGATGCCACACACAAAATCAGTCTTACCCCTTCCAAGATGAGCATAAAAGTCATATCATCATTCCCAGACTAACCACTGACCTCTGTATTTCATAAACTTCTCTGCCCAGGGTCCCTGTACTTCCCCTACTATGCACAGTCAGTAGCAACAACATTAACATGAAACAGCAATTTCCTGCTTCAAAAACAAAAAGAAATGCCACAGATCTGATCCTGTTGTTTAGAGAAACCAGCTGATGAACAGAGAATTATATTTCATATGTACTTTGACACCAGAAGTCTCCCAGGCTTTGGAAATATCTCAAAGAAGGAAGTTAAATGAAGATTTGAAAGACTCATTTCCATCAGAACCACCAAAGTTGTGCAAGAGAAGTACCTTCCTCTTTCAAGTTGTTTTAATGCTTAAGATTTAGTAT